AACTGAGGGATATTTGGAGAAGGGACCATTGTTTGCTGAGCTCCTGCAGCACATCAAGTGCTTCAGGGCTGCTCCTAGGAGCTGTGGCTATCAGAAAACACCTTTCTCCTCTCTGGTAGCCACTGTGAGTGTCTCTGTCACTGAGAATGGTGACACATGAGTGTCTCTGTCCCTGACAGTAGTGACACTCTGGGATTGTCCCACATTTGTCAAGTCCTTGCCATAGTTCATGAGTGTTAGCATTGTGGAGGGGAGAAAAAAGACCAACAGCCCCTTGGAATGGCACTTCTTAGGAGGTTGGTGTCAAGCCACACCAAAAACAAGGCCTTGGTGACTTGCTGGTGGCTGTGCAGATATCTGTGCCATGGGGGAATGTGGTTCCTGACCTGTGGGCTCACAGCTGGATTGCTGCTGTTCCTTGTCCTAGAGGGATCCTGCTCTGCTCAGCCTCCTCCCTGCCCTTTCTCAGCTCCATGAGCTGCTTGGAATCCTTTGGGGGTTGAAGGGAGCTGGTTGGTCCCTTGGAGGTGTGAAACTCAATTCCATGGATTCATAGATTAAGGGGTTGGAATGAACCTCAGAGATCATCCAGCCCCAACCCCCTGCCCTGGGCAGGGACACCTCCCACTAGAGCAGGTTGCTCAAGGCTTTAGCCAACCTGGCTGTGAACACTGCCAGGGTTGGGGCAGCCACAGCCTCCCTGGGCAGCCCACTAGTGGAAATTCCACTGAGGTCAAGTGACCTCTGGGACACAAGTGCTCATGGTCCCCATGTCCCAGTGGAGCAGGAGCTCTGCTGCTCCATGTTGGATGGTCTCACAGCTTTTTCCTCCCCTCTAGGCTCGGATGGAGGTTGATGCTGATGGAAATGGTGCTAAAATCTTTGCTTATGCATTCGACAAAAATCGTGGAAGGGGATCAGGACGTCTCCTGCACGAGTTGCTCTGGTAGGTATTGCAGGGGCAGCTGAAAGCTTTCAGAGTCAACTCTCTGCTGCCACCAACTTGTATGTGCTTATTTCTTTGCCTGTGGTGGTTTTAAGTCCTCTCCGGAGGGCTGGAGAACCAGCACCCACAGATCTCTTAGGGTTTGGTTTGCACTGAGCCTTCACAGTGCTGGGTGTAAAACATTGCAGGCAGAGAAAGGTGAGTATTGCTCATGGAGACACTGCTTAATCCCACTCAGACCTCAGCTGGGGGTGGGGGAGCAGAGGGTTGGCTCCGTTTTATCAGTGAAGACAAACCTCCTGAGGGTTTGTGTGGGTTTATCTGTCCCATGATGTTCAGGAGTGTCATGGTGGCACCAGTGAGAACTGGCAGAGCACTGGAGAGAGAGAGAGAGAAGTTCTGATGCCTTAAAAACTCTGTGGTGTTTTTGCCCAACTTTCTGGGAAGCTGAAGTGATGCTGCTGGTGGTTCAGATCAGCTGCTGTGGCTTATTTTCTGTACCTGTAAATCATTGCTTGAAATCCTTTGTGATGCCTCTTGAGTCCTTTGTGACTGCCTGTTAAGTTTCTGAGGCAAACAGAGAGCAGCTCAGCCTGTTGCTCTTTCTAGATATGCTCATGGGTTTATAGAAAAGGTTATTTCATTTAAAACCCTTCTCTGAAAAATTAACCCTGTTTTCCATTCAGTTCCATGAACTACACTTGGAATTCACAGCACCCAGGAGGTATCTGTGCTATCTTCATCCTTCCAGGTTGCCTTTTATCCCCCAAACTAAGCTCTGCACAAGAGGAGAGGCAGGAAGAGTCTCAAAGACTGTTACTATTGTTTACTATCTGCTCATTAAATATGGATTTTAACCTGCATCTGTTAATGTTTAATCTTATTGCACATATAAGTGATGAAATGATGGAGTTGGCTGCAGTGTGTGGAGTAAGTCACTGACAGCTAACTGTGAACCTCACACTAATGATTGTCTGTGAGTAGCACTAAATAGCACCTTAAAATTACTCATGCTGAGTGTTGAGGGCTGTGCAGGTGAAGACAGTGCAGCTGTTTGCTTAGGACACAGCTCAGTCATTGCCTCCTCTGGTTGGCTTTACTCAGATTAGGAAATAATTGAAATGTATTCAGTTAGGAAATTCAAATTGTGTCGCTCAAGCATGTGCTGGGGTTCAAACTAAGAGATTGTATGTGTAATGGGGGTTCTGGGGAGTCCCAGGGAGCTGCCAGGGAAGCAGAGCTGCAATTCTGAAGTTCCAGAGTCAAGTTCTTGGAGTGGAAAAGAGGAAGTATTTCAGCTGTTGCTGTAAATTCAGTTTGGTCCCTTTGTGCATGTGTTGCTGTGATGTTTCCTTACAGCTCAGTCTGCTGCAGGTCAGTGCCTGAGGCTCTGCAGGTGCTGTGTGCTCCTGCCCCTCAAACAAATCAGCTTTGCTCACCTGCACTGGGACTGCTCTGAGCACAAACCAGAACTGTAGGGCAGTGGCAGATCGTTCCCTCTGCAAGGAGCAGTGTGGGAGGTTTGGGAGCCTGTGGAAGACAGGATTGCTGGGCAGTACCAGGCACTGCACTTCTCAGTGCCAGCCTTGCTCCTTGGGGAAATGGAAAGCAAAGAACATGAGTTACTGCAGGTATAGGTGTGTAATTTAATTGTTCTCTGCACTTGAACCCTTAAATACCTGAAAAACCAACCCAATTGTGTGCCTGGTTTAAGGTACAGTGAGCAGCTTGTGTTAGATGCAAGGAAAGCTGATTGTTGAGTTGTTATTGATGTGGTGAGGCCCTTGGGATACAAAGCTTGTAGCTCCTGGAGCTGCAGCTGTGCCAGGGACCTTCTCCCACATCCCTCCTGCTCTCTGCAGAGAGGGAACTGTGGCACCAGATGGGATCCGAGAGCTGAAAAATCCCCACAGGAGCTGCAATAATTCTTCGAGGAAGAACCTCCTGGAAGTTTTTCAGCCTCTCTGGTGCTTGCTGTGTTTTCCACATGGAGTGTTGGCTCCCCCAGTGTGAGTGTCCCTGGCTGGGGAGCTGCAGGAGTCTGTCGTCCCCTCACCCCATTCCCTGAACAGCAATCTCTGCTTGCTGTGTTTTGGCTGACTGTAGTGATGTTCCCTGGAGAACAGCAGCACCAGGAGATTAGTCATAAATATCACCAACTGCATGTTCAAAAAGACATCCAAGACCTGATTTCTGCTTTTTGGGTGGGTTTTTTTAGAGCACTGCCCAGCCTGTTGCCCATAACTTGCTCTGCTGTGGCTTCTGGTGACTGGAATCACTGTCTGTCCAGGGCACTTCGGTTCCAGGCCTTGGTTCTGAGCTGCTGAAATGCCAAAAGAACAGCTAACAGTTAATTCCCTGGAAGTCTTGGCTGTTCCATCTTGTAGGAGCTCAGATGTGCTGGGGGAGGTAGAAGCTACAGCTCTGCAGAAGCATTGGCTGTGTCACTGAGGCTGTTCCTTCTCTGTCCCCTTCCCCAAGGGACAAGTCCCTGAGCCTGTCCTTCCCTGCATGTTCTGGATGAACTGCTGGAATGTCCCTCTGCACACTTCCAAAGTGAGGGCTGGGGAGGGGAGTGGTGTGCTTGTTCATTCAAAGCTTCCTTTGTAACGTGTGGAGAAAAGGGACTGTCCTGACCTTGCCAGAGCTAATTCTGGAACCTCAGTGCAGTGGTTGTTAGCACTGGTTGCCAGCAAGGCCCAGCTCCATGTTCCCTGTGTCACCTGAGGTGGTAGGAAGGCTGACAGCAGTGTAGAGGAATGTGGTTTCATACAAGACTGGCACCTGTGGGAGGGGATTGAGTCCAGATTTGCCTATATGGGTGCAGGTCTGGGCTGTAGGAGCTGTGGTAGGAATGTGCCACTCTGCTGTGACTTCCTGCTGGCATGGACAATCTCTCCTAATCCTCTTACCAATTCCAACCATTTTAAAAATCTCACTGTCCATTTAAATAAAATTTCTTGCCCTTGGTCTAGACTCCCTTTTCCCCTCACAGTTTGCTCTTGCTCTGAACTTCCTAGGTTCAGTCTAAGAACCTTAACTCCTTCCCTGTCTCCATACCTGATTGATGCTCACCTTCATCAGTTTACCTCCTGGATCCCACCTGTATCCTTCAGCATTCCTGTTCCCCTTTCTAGACCCTCCACTGGCCTTCAGCAGCCCAGAGGGAGCTTTTCCTGCCACAGGGCAAGTTTAGATGGGATTTTGGGAAGAAATTCTTCCCTGTGAGGGTGCTGAGGCACTGGCACAGGTTGCCCAGAGAAGCTATGGCTGGTCATCCCTGGAACCGCTCAAGGCCAGGTTGGATGGGGCTTGGAGCAACCTGGGCTGGTGGGAGGTGTCCCTGCCCATGGCAGGGGGTGGGACTGGATGGTCTTTAAGGTCCCTCCAACCCAAACTGGTCTGTGATTTCTCCTTTATGGCATTTCAGCAGATTCCTTTACCTCGTTTGTTTGCTTTTATGTGTGTGGGTTTGGGTTGGTTTTTTCCCCCAAAAGAGGGATTTTATTTGCTTACCTTCAAAGGGAAGAGCTGCTCCATGTTCCATGGAGGACCATGAGGGCCTGGCAGGAGGCTCCAGGCTCTGTTCCTTACAGAAACTGCTTTGTGGGAGCTGGAACACAGTGTGTAGGCAGGTCAGAATGCAGTGGCAGATGGGAATTGGTGGGATCCTTTGCTTTTAGCCTTGTTCCTCACTGACCTTCCAGCTGGTTTTGTCTCCTGCAGGGAGAGGCACCGGGGAGGGATTGCTCCTGGGTTTCAGGTGGTCCATCTGAACTCGGTGACAGTGGACAACCGCCTGGACAATCTGCGCCTCGTTCCGTGGGGGTGGAAGCCCAAAGCTGAAGAAATCTCTAGCAAACAAAGGTATAGCCAAGTCTGCCAGGGGGTTGCCATCAAAAATTAAAATAGCTTACATTGTAGTGGGTTTTGTCCTTGCAGAGCCTTTTTGATTTGACCTTGGACTACTTACACTGTCTTGACTTCCTCACCTGGGGCATGGGCAGTGCTCACTGTGCAGGGAACCCCCTCAGCCCTCAGTGGTGTGGTGCCAAGGTCCTGCTGTGCCAGGTGCTGTCACTGCCTGTCCTCTCCCAGCTGAGCAGTGGCCTCTGGGCACACTGAACCCCCTGAGCAGTGGCTGAATGAAGTCTGCAGGTCTCACTGCCTTGTGGCTCTTGTGCTGAGGCACCAAAGTTCTACCACCACCTATAGAAGTCATCAGCTGCTAAATGCTTATGCTGAGCTTGAAACCCAGTGGAGTTCCTGGACTCAGCTTTCATCACCTTTCACCAGCAGGTTGTGGAAGCTTCTTGTGTGCCATGTTGCACTGATGTGACTCAGCACATCCAGCTCCATGTCAGGATGGATCTGGTTGGTCTGTGATCCAACATGGGCATGTTCATTCTGGTAGGAGACTCCTCTCCTGAAAGAATTGCTACACCCATAAAGGATGTTCAGAGCTCATGGAACTGATGTTGAGGAGGTGTAGTGAGTTACAGGTGCTCTGAATGGCTCTGGGAGTTCAAGAACAAGAAACACTTCAAGCTAGACAGACTTTTGACTTGATAGAAATAATTTTGACCAGAAATAATTTTGCTTGATGTAAATGTTTGTTGATGGATACCTCTAACTTTTGTGCTTTGCACTCAAACTCAAATAACCCTAAAAATACTCAAATATGAGCAGTATGTCTAGTCTGAGGCAAAACACAAAGTTAACCCTACTTACTTGATTAATAACTTTGGAATCAATTTATGCTTGTTAGGAATTTGTGGGCCAAATTTCTCCTTGTTTTTTTCCAGGGAACAAAGTCTGTACTGGCTGGCAATCCAACAGCTTCCCACAGACCCAATAGAAGAGCAGTTTCCTGTCCTGAATGTAACCAGATATTACAATGCTAATGGAGACGTCGTGGAGGAGGAAGAGAACTCCTGCACATACTATGAATGTCACTACCCCCCATGCACAATGATTGAGAAACAGGTGTGTGCAGGGACCTGGGAGGGAGCATGGGATAGCTTCACAGAATGGTACAGGGTTGGAATGGACCTCAGAAATCACCCAGCCCCAACCCCTGCCCTGGGCAGGGACACCTCCCACCAGAGCAGGTTGCTCAAGGCTTTAGCCAACCTGGCTGTGAACACTGCCAGGGTTGGGGCAGCCACAGCCTCCCTGGGCAACCTGGGACAGTGTCTCACCACCCTCACACCAAAAACTTCTGCCTAAGATGTATTCTAAATTTCCCTCTTTTCAGTTCTCCCCATTGCTCCTTGTCCTGCTCCTGCAGTTCCTACCCAAGAGTCCCTCTGCAGCTTCCCTGGAGCCCCTTCAGCTCCTGGCAGGTTGCTCTGAGGTCTCCACACAACCTTCTCTTCCTCAGGCTGAACAGCCCCAACTCTCTCAGCCTGTCCTCACAGTGAATGCCTTGGGCTAACCTGTGTGCTTTTACCTATTGGTCAAAACAATAATTATCTTGAACTCAGGGTCTCTTTGGCCTGAACCTTCAGAGCCTGTGATAGCTTCCAGTTGGAGGGGATGTAGGTTTGAACTGGAGCAGTGAATGACCTCAGTGGGGACTGAGAGGAGTGGGATTTCTGCAGACTGGACAAAAAGCCAGGTGGAAGCTTTCCTCCAGGGAGCAGAGCTGGAATGAGTGAGCAGCTGTGTGAGGCAGCAGAAAGCATTGTAAGAGGTTTTGGGAGGTAGTGGAATTACAAGGTGACATGGTTAACCTTTCCTGAGCAGAAGGTGAATTTGTGTGGTCTTTGTTCAGGGGAGGAAAGTGATTTCCAGGGCTTTCCTATAGTAGATAGAGCAAAGCTAACATAGAGAATGAGCTGTCCAAGGGCTGTGCCTCTGTCACACAGATGTCCTTAGCTAGAAATAAGGGCATTTCCTGTGATTGCAAGTGCTGAGGAGGCTAAAATAATTGTGTTCCACTTTGGGGAAGGGAATGTTTGCAAAAATGGTCTTAAATGCCTTAAAAAGTGGACTTTGCCTTTTGTTTGGGTCAGTGTATGAAAGCTGTCTGGGTAACTATAAGTTTGGTGGTGGCTGAGCCTGTGCAGGAATCCTAATAACTTTTGAATTTGAGATGTTTGTGGTGGCCAACAGAACTGAAGTTGACAA